GCATGGTGATTGTGCTAGCACTGACCACGGTTAAGTGCTGACCCTATGCTCTTAGAGAAAGAAGGATGAAAAACAGAGGAGACATCTGAGATGGCTGATTGGATCTAAGACTGAACACTTCCTGGGAGAAAGATTTTTGGGCAGCAGAGGCTGTTTCTAGGCCCCAGGCCAGGGTGTTGAGCAATGTTTGCATTTCTCTGAGAGCTTCTGCCAAGGAGCAGAAAACTGATGAGTGACCTGTGAACGCTGCTTACATTCTGGGTGACTCACAGTTTATGGTATTCTGGGGGAAAATCATGTTAATCAGAGGGGTAGGACAGCCATGTGGGTGCTGGGCAGGAAGTTTGGTGAGAGGCCATCCTATGCCACAGTAGGATGGCCTCTCTTGCTAAGCACTCACTGCCCAGGCCTTTCAGCCAATGCCAAGTTGGAAACCCCAAGCAAGCCACTTAAGACTCCTCATTGCTTCCTCAGGCTCCCCAGTCTTCTTTTAGAAGGTTCTTTCGTAGTTGGTATGGCTTGTCTTTCTCCAGAAAGTCATAAAGCCAAATGTCCTGCCCTTTTCCTTTCTTTTGCAATTAAAACATTAATTTCTGGTTACAAAAACAATACATGAATACATTTATCTTCAGAAACAGTAAGACTAGGGGTGTCTGGGTGGCTCAGTCGGTTAAGCAGTTAAGCATCCGACTCTTTGATTTCGGCTCAGGTCATGATCTCAGGAGGGTCATGAGATCAAGCCCCAGAGCCCTGCCTTGGGCTGGGGACTGGGCATGGAGCCTGCTTAAGATTCTCTCCCTCCTTCTTCCTCTGCCTCCCCACCCCATCCCCACACATGCATGCTCGCTCTTTCTCTAAAAAAAAAAGAACAAAAAACCCAGTAAGCTAAACTCCCTTTTACCCCCAATCTTGGCCTTTACTGCATCTTCAGAGATAGCTTTTTTTTTTTTTTGGATAACTTCTGATAAGAGTTTGGCATGTAGCCTTACAATGTTTTTTAAAAATCTTCTATAAACTTAATGTGAGATTGTCTTAGTTTTGGCAGCTATAACAGTATACCAGAGACTTGGTAGCCTATAGGAAATTTCTTACAGTTCCAGAGGCTGGGAAGTCCAAGGGCAAGGCACCAGCAGATTTGGTGAAGGCCTGTTTCCTGGTTCAGAGACAGCTATCTTCTTGCTGTGCATCCTTACAGGGTGGAAAGGGTAGGAAGCTTTCTGGGGTCTCTTTTATAAGGGCACTCATTCCATTTATGAGGACTCTACCCTCATGACCTAATTACCTTTCAAAGGCCCTACCTCCACATACCATCACGCTGGGCATTAGGTTTCAACATATGAATTTAGAATTTGTCTATAGCAGTGTCGATAAGAAATAATGCTATTTATGTCTGTGTTTTAACATTTTATTTTGAAAATAATTTTAGATATACAGAAGAGTTGCAAAGATAGTAATAGAAAGTTCCAGTATACCCTAGCTCAGCCTCTCCTAATATTAACGGGTTTCATAACTCTGGTTCAATGATCAAAACTAAGAAATTAAAACTGGTATATGTACTGTTAATTAAACTATAAACTTTGTTAGAACTTTACAAGTTTTTCCACTAATGTGCTTTTACTGTTCTAGGATCCCATCCAGGATCCTCCGTTGCATTTAGTTTTCTATTCTCTTTAGTCTCCTCCAGTCTGTCGCAGTTCTTGGTCTTTTCCTTGGCTTTCATGACCTTAACACTTTTTTTTTAAAGGCTTCCAGTTCTTTTTTTTTTTAATAGTTTATTTATTTTTAAGTAATCTCTACACCCAACATGGAACTCAAACTCATCACCCCAAGATTGAAAGTCACATGTTCTCCCAACTGAGCCAGCCAGGCACCCCGACCGTAGCACTTTTGAAGAGTCCGGGTCAGGTATTTTGTAGAATATCCCTTAATTGGGGTTTGTCTGATGATTTTTCATGGTTAGACCGAAGTTAAGCATTTTGAGGAAGATTTTTTTAAAAATATCAATTATGTATATAATTTACATATTATACTGCAATTTGCTTTTTACATTCAACTATATTATTTATTTTTTTTAGAGAGGGAGCAAGTGAGGGGGGAGGGGCAGAGGGAGCAGGGGAGGGAGAGAGAATATTAAGCCGGCTCCACATCCAGCATGGAGCCTGAGGCAGGGTACAATCTTTTTTTTTTTTTTTTTAAAGATGACAGAGAGAGACACAGCGAGAGAGGGAATACAAGCAGGGGGAGTGGGAGAGGGAGAAGTAGACTCCCCGCTGAGCAGGAAGCCTGATGTGGGGCTCGGTCCCAGGACCCTGGGATCATGACCTGAGCCGAAGGCAGACGCTTAATGACTGAGCCACCCAGGCGCCCCTCAAGTCAGTGTTTTACTTGGTAAACATGTTTGAGACCATGCATCCCTGGCTGCTAAGCACCATGGCGGACAGGGCTAGAAAGGTAACAGCTTTATTTTGAGCAGGGGGCAAAGACAAGGCAGCACTTTACAGCTACATTGTAACTAGATCGGCAGGGCTCAATCTTAGGACCCTGAGATCATGACCTGAACCGAAATCAAGAGTCAGACGCCTAACCGACTGAACCACCCAGACGCCCCTCAACTATATGATTTTGAGATAGATCTATATTAATGTATAGATCAAGGTCACTTCTTTTAAATTCTCTACAGAATTGCATTATGAGTATTGTGCATTTTATTTAGCCATTCCTCTATTGGTGGGCACTTAGGCTGATTCCAAAGTTTATTAACAATATCATAGTAATTATCCTTGTACACACCTCCATATGTACATGGAGTATGGTAGATAAGTAGAAGTGGCATTGCTGAGACATGGATTTAATAAATATTGTCCTATTGCACTCTAAAGTGGCTGTGCCATTTTATACTCTCTTGATATTATGATGATTGAAAATTGTTGCCAATCTCAGTTTTAATTTCCATTTCCCTGGTTACTACTGAGATTGCATTTTTTGTGTGTGTGCTTATTAGCAATTTGTATTTCCTTTTCTGTGAACTGCCAATTTATATTATTTGCCCATTTTTTTAGTAGATTTTTTTCTTACTGATTTGTTAAGAGTCCTTTGTATGTTCCAGATACAAATCTTTATGTATTACAAATGTTTTCTCTTAGTCTGTTATTTCTTAAGTTTGTTTCCCAATTTTTTTAAAAGGTTTTATTTATTTATTTTCAACAGAGAGAGAGAGAGAGGGCACAAGCGGGGAGGAGGGTCAGAGGGCGAGAGAGAAGCAGACTCCCCGGCGAGCAGGGAGCCTGATGTGGAGCTTGATTCTGGGACCTGAGATCATGACCCCAGCCAAAGGCAGTCACCTAATCCACTGAACCACCCAGGCGCCCGTTGTTCCCCAACTTGTAAAGTTATTACATGTCCCTGATTTTTAAAATTATTTTTTCTGATTTTTTTGGAAACAAAGTTCTTGATTATACAAGTAGTATAAACAATGTAGAAAATCTGGGAAATTTATGGAAAAGTATAAAGAAGAAAAGAAACTACCCTGAATCTTATCACTGAGAAAAAAACACTACTAACATATTCAATTACATATTTCCTTTTAGTCTTTCATGTGTGCATGCATTTTTTTTTGCTCAGTTGAGATTTTATAAATATATATATATATATATATGTTATTTGTTCAGTGGCCTGGTCTTTAGACACAAACCCTGAACTTTTTCCATAAGTACTTGGTTGAAGGTAGTATTAGACGAAATTCCAGTTCCTATTCCTTTTCCTCACATATCCTGAACAAGCTAGTAGGTGAGAGGTCCAAGGCCTGTCCTCAGCTGACCTGAACTGAAGTTGGCTCAAAAATCATGAGAGGTAGAAATGCTCCAGTAGAGCACTTATTTACGTCTTGGAGGTTTTGTTGGTGGCAACTCAATGAGTCAATAGTGTGGATGCCATGAACTTTATTGCCTGAATGGAAGTCCTACAAGGAGGAAGTTAGGGTAACTGCTTTGTTGTGATGGTACTGCAAACATTTGTTTCTGTTTTGGGTGATATACTATGAAGGAGCCACATTCAAACCTACTAGGTGCATGAGGAGAATGAGGACAAAGACCTTCCCTTCCCCAGTAATGGGAGATACTGGTCTCCAGTAACAGAAGACCTGGGCAGAAACCTTCAAATATCTGTAAGTAGAAGGACAAAGAGAAATTAGACGTGTTTGTTCTCTGAGGCTCCCAAGGGATAGGACTTGGGCCAGAGAGTGGGTGTTTCAGAAACACTTTCTAACCGGTGTAGAGCTGCAGAGAGCAAGGAATGCCTTGCTCTGGAAATGGTGGGCTTTCTGTCACTGGGAGTCTTTCGGCTTGTTGGTGGTAGGGGGTCGCTATAACTAACATTTACTGAGTGCCCTGTGCCAGGACTGTGCTGAGAACCTTCCCTCTATTATTTCATTCTGTGATACCCAATGAGATAGGTACTATTGTTATCTGTTCCTGTATTATAGATGAGGGAACTTGGTACAGTGAGGTCAGGTAACTTGCCCAAGGTCACACAATTTTTAAGTGGTGGAACTGCAATTCCAACCCCTTCTGACAAACTCCAAAGCTGGTGCTTTTAACCATCAGTGGGATTCAAGCGTGGTATGGGGGTCTGGACCAGAAGGGCTCTGGGGTCTGTTTGACCAGAAGATTCGGTGACTGGGAAAAAGGGTGCCCCATCCCCCTAAGGAGAAGCATCGGTGTGTAGACCAAGGCAAGGTGGTCTGGGGCCTTGCTGAGGGGCCGGGCACAAGGCCAATTGATGGAGACCTAAAAGCCATGTAAGGGTTGTCAACGTGCCTTATCCTACAGCTCGTCAACAACTGCTGTTTGTGGATCTCGAGAACCCGCGCTAGGGCCAGAGGCGCACGACTGCATCGGGGCTCCTCTCAGGCAGTGCTGCTAGGGAGCGTCGCCGCGGCCGGGTTCTGCGGCGGAGCTGGGGAAAGAACAGCACGCCGGTCCCTGGCCGGGCGCGAGCCGGGGGCGGTGCCGGGGCGGCGGGGGCGGGGAAGGAGCGCGCCGAGGCGGCTGCGGCAGTTGCGCGCTGGGATTGCAGCCGTGCGGCGGGCTGGTGAGTGCTGCGGGAGTCGCGGGAGGGCGGGGAGGAAGCGGGCGAGGGAGAGAGCGAGCAAGCAAGCAAGGGAGGGAGGGTGCGCGGCAGAGCGCGCGACTTGGGACCGGGGGCCGCCGCCAGCCCCTGCCCCGGCCCCACTAGGGCCGCCAGCCCCTCCGGCCCCTCTCCTCCATCCCAGCGTCCGCCTGCGCGCCCGCGGACTTGGCACCCGCGGATTCGGCACCCGCGTACCCACACGGCGCCCCCCCGTCCCCAGCTGGCCCCCGCCGGCCCCCGCCTCAGAGCGGCCCCTACCTCCGCGCCGCGGCGACGCCCCCGGCCCCACGTCACGCTCGCGCCATTGTTTCCCTGCCGTCGGCTCGCGGGGACCCGTCTGACCCTCGAAGCGCGGCCCTTCGTCTCCTCAGAGCCAGCCTCGCCGTGTCTTGCCCCCCCCCCCCCCCCCGCTTTTCTCACGCCGGTGGCAGCCCTCATCCCTCCTGAGGCGGACCCCTCTTAGGTCTGCTTATTTTTTCCGGCCAACGCCGGCGCCGGAGGCCAGCCTTTCCACCCCTCTTCAAGGGCCTCACCCCTTGCGCGTTCCGGGTGGCCCCCAGGGAACTAGCGGACCGCCGTAGTAGGAGGCGAGGCTGACAGCGTTTTCGCCAGAGCCGCAGGAAATTGCCAGCTTGGTAGCCCATGTCAGTTATGTCGTTTGCAGCACTTCCTGGAAAGCTCACATCGAATCGCAAGCCGCCACAAAAACCATGCTCGTTATTTCCAAACGGCTCCCAAGTCAGGCGTCAGCTGTCTGGTGGCGGCCCCTTCCTTTTTTTTCTGGGGACCCCTGAAGCTGGTGAAAGCCGAGGCGTAGATGCAGATCTGAGGCCTGAACCATTAGTTGTAAGCATAATGTTTGGAGGTTTTGACGCCAGTAAGCCTCACCTTTTAAAAGCAGTAGGTAGAGCTTGGTGTCATTTGTTGTTTTCCCCTGTTGTGGGCTTTAGGGCCATTATGTTTGAGGGATGTATTATAAAGTACAGTGCTCTGCAGTGACTAGTCACCTTTATAGGGTTGTGTGCGTGCGTGCGCCCATGCGTGTCCTGGTGCAGACAGGTTCTTCATAGAACTGTACTTGTTTTGTAGTGTCTGCGCACTGTTCATTGTGCCTCTTAAGACAGCGGATGCAAATTCTAACTGTAACCTGAAAGGAAGAATGTTGAAACAGTACCGTTTACCATGGAAGCTTAATGTGATTGAGGTCTTTTTAGACACTTTTTTTCCCCTTAATTTTATTTTATTTTAGTAGGCTTCACGCCCAGCGTGGGGCTCCAACTCACAACCCTGAGATCAAGAGTCGCATGCTCTACCACTGAGCCAGCTAGGAGCCCCTACTGGGACACTTTTCAACAGTGGTTAGAATTTACCCAGATGAAGATGTTCAGGCCTGTAGAAGTTAAGTTCAGTAAGAGGCAGCTTAGTAATTAACGAACTCTACATGATGGGCTGATGCTAGCACACACAGACTTTACTTCTGAAATGCATTTCTTTTGCAATATAAGCCACTACAATTTCAGCTCTTATAGGTTGTTGCTGCATTTACTCTCATTAACCTAGAATTTAGATTTTAGAATATAGTAATCTGTAAAATGAGAAGGTTGAAGGAGATGTTCTGCAAGGTTTCTTTCAGTTCTTTTTTTTTTGAAGATTTTATTTATTTATTTGTCAGAGAGCACACAAGCAGGGGGAATAGCAGGCAGAGCGAGAAGCAGGCTCCCCGCTGAGCAAGAAGCCCGATGGAGGGAGGGCTGGATCCCAGGACTCTGGAATCATGATCTGAGCGGGAGGCAGACGTTTAAGGGACTAAGCCACCCAGGAGCCTGGGTTTCTTTCAGTTCTAAGCTTAGATTCCATTCTATGAAAATTTACAATTAGCTACAAGTTTCTGAAAGTTTAGAGTTGTAGGAAGATTTTATATAGAGAGATATTTACTAATGGTATCTGCAAGCCTTACTGCTGACATCAGGTGTATCTTCCTGAAGAAAGACAAATTACAGTGGAGTGTTGAGAGGAGGGATGTTCATTCCTCTTTCTCTAGGCTGTTCTTGCTGTTTTATGGGAGAAAGAAAGCACTTAAGACATGTTTGGTGTTTTTTTTTTAATACATCTTTTCATTGCTTAGCTCTCTTAACAAAAAGCTTAATTCAATGAAATAGCAAAAGAAGAAGAAACAAACCCCAACTTTATCATACTATTTATGACTATGTTCTTTTCCAGTTCCTATTTAAACATAGTTTTTATGTAGTTTCAATTGCTATGTACATATTTTAAATTTTCATTTACCCACTTTCTGGGATGTCCATGTATCTGAAGAATTTATCTACTTTTCATTTGTAGAAGCTTTGTAACATGCTTTAGGACTCAGTAGTCAACAATGCCTGGCATACAGGCTCTCAGTAAATTTTTGTTGAAGGAAATAGTATTTTGCGCCACTTAAACAACATCTCTGAACACAAAATGTTAAATCACAGGGCATATGTTCAGTGACATTTGAGCAATAAAGGCAGTCAATACTTTGAGCCAGGAGATAGCATCACATATGTTTGAGGGTGTGGTTTTTGGAGTTTGGGTTTGAGACCTAGCTTGCAACTTACCATCCATGCAACGTTGGAGAACATGGAGGGCCTCACTTGGTTTCTCTCACCACAAAAGGGAAAATAGAACAAATTTCACAGGGTTGTGTGGATTAAATGTGATAATTCCATTGAAGCGATATTAGCATACATTAAATTCTCTATAAATGTTAATTCTTACTGTTTTTTGCTCAAAGTGGGGACATTACTACATGTTGGTGGGATCAGAAAAGCATAAGAGATGGTGACATGAGAGTAAGAAGATGAAAAAGTAGTTATATTGAGGGTTTAATGAATAGGTTGCTCTCACTAAAAGTATGTGATAGAGTAATAGTTTGAGATAAAGCTAGAGACAGAATTTCTAGTAAGCTGTTTACAAGATAGGCTATGTGGATTTCTTGAAGATAGAGCACAATTAATGAAATAAGATAATCTTTTTTTTAAAGGTTTTATTTGAGAGACATAGCAAGAGAGAGCACGAGCGAGAGTTGGGGAGAGGGAAGAGCAGGCTCCCCACTGAGCAGGGAGCCCGACATAGGGCTCTATCCTAGGACCCCGGGATCATGATCTGAGTTGAAGGCAGATGCTTAACCCACTGAGCCACCCAGCTGCCCCCAGATAACTTTTTTTAATGAGTGGTTAGTATTTGTTTTGTTTTTTCGGTTCAGACCTAAAAAAGTTCTTTGCTTTAAAGATTTATTTATTTTAGAAAAATGTGTGAGTAGGGGGAGGGGCAAAGGGAGAGGGTGAGAGAGAATCTTGAGCAGACTCCCTCCTGAGTGGGTAGCCCAACGCACGGCTCAATCTCATGACCCTGAGATCCTGACCTGAAACCAAGGGTCAGACGCTCAGTGGACTGAGCCACCCAGATGCCCCCAAAAGTTCTTTAAGGAAGTTGATTGCAAATTGTTATGGATTACTAAATTTCTTGTGATTTGACACAGTAAATCTTATATGACTTTTTATTTGAAATTTGATTGTGTTCTATGATTGGTTACCAGAGTTTGCAGTGGCTGTTTGTTCATTTTTTTTTCAAGGTTTTATTTATTTCTTAGAGTGTGTGCATGCACGCAAAAGCGGGGGGGGGGGGCAGAGGGAGAAGCAGACTCCCCGCTGAACAGGGAGCCCGATGTGGGGCTCGATTCCGGGACCCTGGGATCACGACCTGAGCCGAAGGCAGACGCTTAACTGATGGAGCCATCCAGGCGTCTTTGGTTCTTTCTTAAATGGAAAACAAGTTTAGCAACAAGACAATAGAAACCAATAAATATAGCAAAATTGCCAGCAGAGCAGCAAAACTGCCCTCTTTTTAGGTGGAATACAGAATCAGGAGGATTAAATTGACTTGGAGAGTGTTGAACTATTTGTTCCTGCCTTTTGTGTGTATCTTTTTTTTTTTTTTAAAGTAGGCTCCACACCCAGCTTGGAGCCCAACGTGGGGCTTGAACTCACAACCCTGAGATCAAGACCTGAGCCGAGATCAAGAGTCGGACACTTAACCAACTGAGCCACCCAGGCGCCCCTAGTACATACACTCTTTTTTTTTTTTTAAAAGATTTATTTATTTATTTATTTGAGAGAGAGAATGAGAGAGAGAGCATGAGAAGGGGGAGGGTCAGAGGGAGAAGCAGACTCCCCGCTGAGCATGGAGCCCGATGTGGGACTCGATCCCAGGACTCCAGGATCATGACCTGAGCCGAAGGCAGTCGCTTAACCAACTGAGCCACCCAGGCGCCCCCATACACTCTTATTTAGTACATTATACATATGATTTTGCAACATTTTTTTTGTTGAACATTTTTAAAAAGATTTTATTAATTTATTAGAGAGCGAGTGAGCAAGAGAGAGCATGGGGGAGGAGGGACAGAGGGAGAGGCAGACTCTCGAGGAGCCCAACACAGGGCTTAATCCCAGGACCCTGAGATCATGACCTGAGCCAAAGGCAGGTGCTTAACTGACAGCCACCCAGGCACCCCTACAGTTTTTTTTAAAGATTTGTTTATTTGAGAGAGTGTAAGTGGGGGGGGGAGGGGCAGAGGGAGAGAGACTCCTCAAGCACATTCCCTGCTGAACGCGAAGCCCAACTCAGGGCTCAATCCCAGGACCCTGAGATCATGACCTAAGAGTCAGGTGTTTGAGCCACCTAGGCACCCCAACATTGTTTACAGTATGTGTCCATGTTGATAGATAGTCTTTAATTCATTCATTTTAATTGCTCTAGTGTTGCATTATATGAATAAACGTTTGCTTATGGATTTTTAGGTATTTCTGATTTTTTTGCTATTGAAACATTCTTGGATTATCATGTTGTTTACATGTGTGAGAGAATTCTTAGCTTAGGAAAATCTTAGATTGTAGAGCATGAAGATCTTCCACCTCTATTAG